GGGAGCGGGCGTACAGGTAGTACGCGGACACGACGATGCTCAGCGTGCACAGCGTGGCCAGCGCCAGGACCGTCCTCTGGAAGCGCCTGTGAAGCTTCATGGCGGCGCTCATGCCGCGGCCGCTTCCCTCCGCCCTCCCCGTGGAGCCCCCGAGAGAAAGCGACGGCACCGAGGGAAAGACGGGGTTCGGCTACGGGCGCGGTCTCAGCCCATGGCTTATGTCACCATCGCCGCTCATCGGTACTGCTTGATCGGGACGCACAGGAAACGCGGTCTGGAAAGTAGAATAGAAGAGAGCGAAATGTAGGCAGCATTACAGTGAGCGTTTTTATCCTGGGCCCCGCCCCAGTGTCGGGCAGGGGGACTGGCGCCTGGTCGGTGAGACGCCTCCCTGCCCCTGCCAGGTCTGGACGAGGACGTGGGACGGGGCAGTGTCGAGGGGGCAGTGTCGGAAGCCCCGGCAGGGGTTCCTGTCACTCACTGAGCCTTGCCTCAAACTCTGTAGATGACATAGACCCAAGACCACAGAGAGGTCACCCGAGCCACACATGTGATGCCATCAGGCCATTTCTGTTAAATTACATATACTGACAATTCATAACTGTTGGGGCGTATTTCATTAAATGCTCCAGCGAAGACACTATTTTTTTTTCTGTTAAGTTGTTGACACAATGAATTTTGACCTATTTACATTTCAAATCTGTTCGACAAACAACCCAAGCAGCCAGAGAATAACCCTTTCAAAACGCAGATAAGGTCTCCCAACCCCACGATCGATCGATCGTTTCGGAGCTGTGTATTTGCAGAGTGAGGTTTTTCGAAAACCAGGACGGTATTTTGGTGAGATGAACACGAGCTGTAAAATACTGCCCGGCGTGCGGTCAGCCCCGGCGTGGGGCCATGCGGGGTTCCCGTGCTTCCGGGCAGGAGACGTTCACCCACAAACTCACCTTCCGAGTCATTCTGTTTCTACTTTTTGGAAAAGAGCTCAGTCATTCCATATTCCTTGTGTTTATGTATATATATAAAATACACTGAAAGCACAGCGGGCCGTTGAATAACATCGTTTTGTTCAAACCTTGATGAGAAAAAATTTTGGATTCTGCGGCAGGGCCTCCGTCCGCGTGGGGTCATCTGCAGTGCTGGGTCCCGGCCGCACCCCACAGGTGTGCAGGGGGCGGAAGGGTGCGTGTGCGCGGCCCCCTCCTGAGTCCTCGCGGTGGGCGCGGGGCGCCGTGCGTTTATCTCAGCGTTTCATGGTAGAAGTGTCACGGGGTCTTCACGTAGCAGTTCGCTGGTGTTTTGTGAAATGTGCCGTGGGAACTTAGCTCTGTTTCTCTCCGTTAGCCCGGCCCATGTTGGTTTCACCTTACAGCCCCGCACGGCCGAACGATGCGGATACGTGCTTAAAACCGCGTTAGGGGATTCTGTCGTCGTGCACACGTCATGGCGTGCCCTTGTCCCGGCCTAGAAGGCCACCTGCTGCTGTGGCCGAACGCGCCGGCCTCCTCTGGCCCTGGCAGTGCGGTGGGGCCGTTCACATGCGCTGCGCTCTCACGTTGCATGGCCGTGACGTCATTCGGCTCCATCATGAACTTACCGACCGCGGCCGCGTGCGCGGTCTGTTACCTGACTACGGCGCGTGACTACGCTATTCATCCACTGCCACAGTTTCTAAGGGCCTGTCAATGATGTCAAGTAAGGACTTCCTGTATTTAAAAAAAAAACCATAATCGAAACGATGGAAACTTCATAAAACACCTCGTTATGCTATAATTTCAAATCTTTTTGCACCTGAAAAATTTAATAACTTTTGAAAAATAATAAGAAAGAAATGGGTGCTTTTTACAGCTTAAGATTTTTGGAGTCTTATGGTCTGGACACTGCAAGAAAATATAAATATATATAAAAAAAAATTGCGACAGCCAGCGCTGGTGGAGATCATCATGTTTGGTGGTTTTCACACGACGAGGGCTCACTGCACCTGTCTCTGACCAAGTGTGTCACTTTGGCCCCAGCTCCTTCCAAGTAAAACGATGGTTAGAATAAATGCTCTCCCAGAACATTCTGGTTCTAAAATTCTGCGACATCACCTATGAAATATGCAATGAACAATATTTTGAACAATACATATTTGCCTATGAATAATATAATATTATGGAGTATGACCGCCAGATCTTTATTTACAAGATAAATATGCTATTTATCCTCTAAATTATATATCACAGTTTATTCATTTAAATAATTAGGGTATCTATGCAATTCACTCAAATATTTATGGGGTAATTGTCTTGTTATTTAAAATATAAATGTTCTCGAGTGAATTTCTTTAAAAGGTCCAAAATTATGGAGTGTGACTAGAATGACCAACATTAACGTATGGGGCGCGAGCACCTCGGCCACAGCCATAAATCAGTTACCTCCAGAGTGCGCCTTCCACCAAATCTCACTCCAATACCTGTCTTTCGCATTCCGATATTTTTCAAAATTCAGCATGGCTACAGTTGTCTTGCCATGCATCTGGTTTTAAAAAGGAAAACATCTGTTTTCCACCAAGGAAACATCAGCCATTCTTTAATGACTTGCCATGAACAGAAGGCAGAGGGAGCACATTAATTTCGGGACGAGAGGCCGTTCCACACACACAGTGAGCAACTGGATCTATCCAAACGCACATTTTGCAAAGTTCTGCAGTGTCAAGGGAAGTACCTGCCTGTTCACTGTGACCCATCTTTTCCACTAACACCCACCGTCATCCCAAAGTAAATCGATTTCTAAATGAAATGGAATCATGTTGAAGTTGGCAGTACAAGAAATGTGAAAAAAAAAAAAAAAGATTGCCATCTGGAAAACGAGTATTAATAACTAAAGAACTTCAGGTTCTAACACAAATGAAAGATGTTTAAAAGATCTTGACAATATTCCTCTTTCACAAAATTAGTGTCGAAAAATGCATTGAGAGGCCTCGGATGCATTACATGAATGTGTTAAAAGCAACTCAGTAATATTAAAAATTGACAATGAACGTGTTTCTCTGGGAAGGACCGTGTGGAGTGTGTCGCGTGAACCCCGCTGTGGCAGGCAAGCGAAATGCTGATTCCCACGGGGCACGACCGAGCAGGCGCCCGTGAAGGACGGGGGGTTTGTACAGCTGGACGGGGTGTTTATAAAGCCGGATGAGGGCTTTGTAAAGCTGGACGGGGGGTTTGTAAAGCCGGACGGGGTCTTTGTAAAGCCGGACGGGAGGAAGGCTGCACGGGGGCCTTAGCTGTGTTTGGTGTGTGAAATGGAGAACGTCTTTCTCTGGCAGTTGGCCCTCCGTCTTCGTGGTGACGTAGGAAGGACAGAACACCTCTTGCCGTCCACTGAGGCAGGCGAGCACCGGCCGCTGCCGCCCGCTGTCCGCTCCACCTGCGCGGCTTAACCGGGAACGTGGCTCCCTCTGTCCCCGTGGGCCGAGCCGGAATGTCCTAGCAGCGGGCGTCAGGATGACTCCCAGGGCGGTCTCAGGACGCCGTCGAACGCTCGCCGTTTTTACCTTCCTTCAGCGTCGAGGGAACTGAGCTTCCCAGCCCAGCCTCTCGTCATCCGCCTGTCCCGGGAGATGTAAAGGTATAGGTCAGCTTTTGGCTGTTTTAGGGCGGGTCACACGGACCAGAGAGGCAGAGCAGCCAGTCTGCGGAGCGAGGGTCATGCCGCAGGAGCAGAGAGGAGCAGCGAAGGCGGAGGACGGGGCGCCCCGAGGTGGCCTGAGTCCCGGTCCCTGACGCTCCGTGCCCGGGAGGCGGTGACGGAGCCAGGCAGATTCCTCCTCCAGAACTCGGGCATCTTTTAGAACAAGCGACACTGAACCCAAATGGGGTAGCGAGAGAGGAAAAAGGGGTCGCCCAAAGTGGACCGTGCGTACCCCACCAGATGGAGAGGTCCTGGGCGCCGCGTGAGCCGTCTCGGCGGCGGGTGCTGAGCGAGCGTCTCTGGAGGGAATAAACCACCGTTTCGTGTGTGGGGAGCAGTCGTAGCGGTCACTGGAGTGGTACGTGGGTCACCGGTGTTACGTCGAGAGGCACGTCAAGCACAGACATTTGAACGCCCGCAGAGAGACGATGTGATACAGTCACGCACTGTCTAGTGACATTTCGATCAACACGTGACAGTCTGCATGTTCGATGGACGTCTCGTGAGCTTATAACGGAGCTGAAAATCCTGTCACCTGGTGACATCGTAGCCATTTTAAAGTCGTGGCGTGACGCGTTGCTCGCGCATTTGTGGTGATGCTGGTTTACACACGGCTACCGCGGTGCCGTGTGTAAACCACCCACACGGTTACGCACAGAGCGCGATGCTTGATGGTAGCGACTGTTCCCTGTTCATGTGTTCGCTGTACTACATTTTTTAATCAATATTTTGGACTTTGCTCTTTCTGCTTATAAAAAAAAAAGTTGGCTGAGAAACTGGCCGAGTGACGCCGACACCAGCCTCGTCCGCCCCCTGCTTAACCGCGTCTCTTGCTGCATCATTTCCCCTGGTGCTCAGTCCGGCCTGGGGCAGTGTTGGGCTTGATGTAATCTCTTGTTGTTTTGTTCCTCAACACCCCCAAGCATACAGAATCCACTGCCAATGTTGCCAGCAAGAGGCCAGGTTGGGTGACTCACCCGGAAGCAAAATTAACAGTGATCAAGGACCACGAAGGCAGAGACCAGTGATGGGTATTGTCGCCAGCCAGGCACGTCCCATCCCGCCATGGCCACGAGCTTGAAGAACAAGGACAAAGTGAAGAAGCTGTTCGAGGCTCTGCTTCATCGAAGGCAGCAAGTGAAACGAAAATTTGAGAAAGGGCCTACATCGGACACTCCCAGGACCTGGCCCGAAGGCCAGATGTGGAAGGGTAACCCCCTCAGCAGCAGGGTGCTCACGGCCATGGCAGCGTTTGCGACGTCGAAAGAAAAGGCTGAGCCTGACTACGATGTCGAATTTACTGCCAGCTCTGGGTGGTTTAAAAGATGCCGGAATCATTCTTCATTATAAAATGTGAAAGTGAGTCGTGAGTCAGCTGGTGCTGATGTGAAAGCAGCTGAAGAATTTTTGGAAATTCTAGATAAGCTGATTGTGGAG